AAGTTATAATTTTTATGTTATAATTTTTTCTTCAAATTTGAAAATACATCATTTCTTGTACTAAGAAATTTGATTGTTAATGTTTGTTTCATATTGATATCGTAAATTCAACGTAAAACAACCAGAGTACAACAAGGTATGACCCAATCCTGCATTTCAACGCCACAGGTGTGCATCACTACCCCAATACCTTTTGTTTAGAGAATGTTCTTTAATGATGTTTGCTTGTTTTTTCTGATAGGAGAGTGGCATTCTATTTCAGAAATAGGAGTTTTTTTGGACAAGTTTAAGGCTTGGATACTGTCTGGATTGAACGATGAGTTGAAGTCGCGACTTCTATTACAAGTGATGCCCCAAATTCTGCCAGTTTTAGTGCCCAAGTTCTACGGCTAATTTTTTATAGACTTTATATGTTTGATTTCATTTTGTGGAACTACATTTTTGAAAAGCAAAACATTGTAAACGAATTATTGTATGGGTCAGTTTATTAATTTTTGTCCTCCTATTGATTAAAGAAGAGAATAATTCTACTCCACTAAACATGTGCTTTCATATTAGAAAAGCAAAATACGAGTAATTAACAAAATCTTCCCATGCCAAGTGTCTAGTATATAATATGGAATTTAAATAAGTATCAGCAAAGTTGTGTAGCTCAATTGGTTCAAATGCTATTGTGTGTTGGATGGGGTCCCAGGTGCAAAACCTGCTCCCACAAATGTTTGTTTTTTTATCTTAGTAACCTGGTTGTTGAATTATAAACGAATTATTGGTGACATGGCAAATTAAATAGGTTGCCTCCAAATCTAACGATGTGAGGTCAGCACTGTTAAGTCCATGTCGGAACTGTTAAGTTTTCATCCGTGAAATGGAACGGAAGTGATGGATGATAATTATTTATATCAAGTTTAGTGGTTTAGTTGAATTGAAAATGAGTCTCATGGTAAACATAAATTAATTAAGCAAGTATAGTGACCAGCGATGATTTTCACCCGTGTATTTTGCCTCCAGTTTTTTAGCAATGTGAACTACGGACCATTTTCTAACTTCATATCACTCATTCAGGAATTAAATTGTGTAGTCTCACCCAAATGCACATTATTCGAAGCCACATTCCAATGAGTGTCCCCAGTCCCCACCACTTTCAAGACGACTCCGGATTCACCCGAGTCTTGATTTTTTTTGGTTAATTGTATGGTTGGTCACCGAGATTACAGAAAACGTTCAAGTTTGGTCACTCGAAATATTTAAATCCATTGGTGGTACTTCAGTTTACTCAAACCGTTCACGTTTGGTCACTCGCCGTCCAACTCCGTTAACTTTGCCTGATGTGGTAGTCAACTCTCAAAGTTGACCGTTAACTTAGTGACATGGCAACTAAAAAATTATTAAAAATAAAAAAATAAACTTGTATATTTTCCACCTTATTATTACATTCATTAAAAATAAACTTTTATATTTTCAGAATTGCAGCACCTAGGAAGAAGAACTTGGATTTGTCTAGCATTTCCCAGTTGATTTCAGCTCGGATGTGTATCTCCTTCTCCGATCCTTCCTCCGCCGCTCCTAAACTCATCTTCCCCAGTTTCCCAATCGTAGTTTTTCAATCTAACTAAACAGAGAGAGAGAGAAAAAAAAGGCTCTACTACCAAAAAGAACACTAGTATTCACAAAATCCCTCTTAGTAAATCCGAGGGAAAAAGCTGTACAGGAATCGAGGAACCACAAACAGAGGCGCGAAGGAGAAACAACAGCAACTCAACAAACATTCTAATACAAAAATTCCTAACAAAAAAAACTATATTGAGATCGCGAAGAACAACAGTACGAAAGAAAAAAAATTACTAATTTGATTAGCCTAAAAAAGATAAAATCTATTTTTTTCCGCTTGTTGAACCAAGTCTTGGATCGAAACCGAACCAGAATGAACGGATCTACCATTGCCCTCTCCTTCTTCTACGACGAATACCGTTACAATCAAATTCGCTCCACCTGACAGAAAACTCAACTCAAGCTCATCCCGCGTCGCCGACATTGCCGGCAACCGAAAAAACATTCATCGGGGGGTCTTTTTCCCGACGAGTTTAGAAAAGGGAAAATCGATCAAAGAGTATAGGATGATGCTATAGAGGATTCTAGAGAGAGAGAGAGAGAAAGAAATGGCGGAGAAGGGGAAGAGAAGAAGAGTGACCGGAGATCAGCGGTGGAAGGGAATTGTGTAAAAGTGGTGTGGAGCACTGAAATAGAGAGCTGGGTCGGGAGACTCAGTCCAACCTCAATTCTTTCTCCTCAAACATAATTTGCTCTTTCGAGCCTCTGCAGAACACCGCGAATTTCCCGCCAGAGTGCTCAGCAGTAATAGCCCCTTCCCACCAGCCATCGCAGTGGAAGGCCTCCACTTTGTCACCGAACTTGAACTGGACCTTCTTCTTCTCGGGAGCCGGCGACAGACACAATTGGATCTGTTTTCCGGCGAGGAAAAACTTGTGTTTGAACTCAATAAATGCACCTTGACTTCTTGAACAACGATTAATAACATGGTTCACACCTCTCAGAACAATGTTCGAACGAGGGTGTTTGATGATTTTGATGGCTGATAAAACTAAGTTAAATTACTTCCACTCCTATGGAGGTTCAGTGAGAGCTCCAAAAACTAAAAGCTACAACTATGGCTACATTACAGAGAAAAGATAAGTTTGACATGTGGTGTCAAATGTTTGGTTGTGGAACCCTTGCTTCGTTTTCGTTTCTCCTATTTATAGCCATCCCTTATAACTGCCGTGTAACCGCCTCTTGGTAACCGCTGCTCCACTGCTTGGTGTTTGATTTAGCTTGCTTGACGCCTTGACTGTCTTGCGTGCTTTCCACTTGATGACTTCACTTGATAGCTAACCCCTTATGCCATGGAGGTGTCTTGTTTGGTGAGTGAAGGCTTCACTCTTGGTGGTACTCGTGATAACCACCTTGACATGACGTCATGCTCGCCACCAGGGTGCTTGGGGGTTTGATGGATGCATAATGACCCCTTTTGGGGTGGCATCATGCTTGCAGGGTCTTGACAAGGTGGTCTACCATGTGATGATATACATGGCTGACTACTTAGAAAATTGATGACCTTGCACGAGACCTAGCACCCCTGCTCTGCTTGGGTACTTGAGAGGTGAGTGTCAAAGCAATGCCGACACCAACTCTCCTTGCACGGCCTCATGCTCGACACCCTAGTGTTTGGTATCCGGTGCTTGACCTCTTTGGACGGTATCATGCATGACCCCCCTTGGATGATGTCATGCTCGACTCCCCTCGTGGTTGGATCTCCATACTTAGCCAATTTTCACCTTCTTTTGCCGCATCACGTCTAGGGGTACTCGTGATAGCTCTCCTTGCACGGCATCATGCTTGACACCCTAGTGCAAGGTAGGTAGACGGCATAGTGTTTGACCCCCCTTGCATGACATCATGCTTGACCCCCCTTGTGATATGGGTCTCAACACTTAGCCAAATTTTGCCTTTCTTTGCCACCACGGTTTAGGGATTTGCGTTGCCCTTCTCCCCTTGCCACATGTTTGATACCCGATAGGCGGCCAGACCCCCTTGCGTCCCGTCATACTCGACTCAATGTCATGCTTGACCCCCCTTTGACACTATGACATGGATGATGTCGTGCTTGACCCCCCTTGGATGATGTCATGCATGACCCCACTTGGACGATGTCATGCTTGACCCCTCTTGTGCTATGGGTCTCAACACTTAGCCAATTTTCGCCTTCTTTCCCATCATGTCCAGCGGTACTCGCGATGACCCCTTTGCATGACATCATGCTTGACCCCCCTGGGATGATGTCATATTTGACCCCCCCTGGTGGTTAGGTCTCCATACTTAGCCAAATTCATGTTTTTCATGTCTTGGTACCAAGCCCTGCCCCTGGCCCAGGAACTCCATACTTAGCCAACTTTCATGTCTATTGGTATCAAGCCTGCCTTGTCGGCTTGATATCCCTTTTGCTCCATCCTTAGCCAAATTCTATGTCATAGTACCAAGCCTTGCCTTGCCGGCTTGATACCCCGTCGTTGACCTCCTTACTTGGTACCCGGTCATTTGGCACCCAGTTGTGCCACCTTGTTTCCAGACTTAGTTTTTGGGACCCAAATTTCATACCAAGGGGTGGAGGCATCATCCAGCTATGGGGGCCACGGAGATGGGTCGGCCATCGTATAGAGAAAAAGGGGTTTGGTCACTTAGGCCCAAAAACCGAACCCAATAAGGCCTAAGTAGCTCTTTTAGTTATTAATGTTGAGTTGGCCTTCTAAATCCATTAATCCTCTTGTAATTAATCGATGTGGTATAAGCTGAATTTTTATGGGCAAACAGGATCCAATCGAGGGTTTCTTGCAGCAGCTTCTCCCCAGATTCGTCCTCGTAGAGCCAGTCGTACTTGACTACGTAGCGATTAGGGTTCTTCGGCTCGCAGCGGATGACGTTGTCGGCGAACCAGGAGCCGCGGAAGTCATGGTCGGCGAACCTGATCTCGAACCGGTCGCCCGGTTTGAATTGGGCGATCCACGAAGAGGATGTGTTCGACTTCGACATTTCCAGGTAAAGAAAGAGATGGATGTAGAAAAGAAATTATATATTTTTGTTTTAATGAGTGTAATAATGAGGTGAAAAATATTTAAAAAAAAAATTATTTTTAATAATTTTTTAGTTGTCACGTCACTAAGTTAATGGTCAATTTTGAGAGTTTACTGTCACCGTAGTTAAAGTGAACGGAGTTGAACGGAGAGTGACCAAACATGAATGGTTTGATTAAACTTAAATACCACCAATGAATTTTATTTCGAGTATTTTATTTCGAGTGACCAAACTTGAATGTTTTTTATAATCTCAGTGACCATGCAATTAACCCTGATTATTTTTAAACATTTTTCAGAATTCCAACTATAAACTCATGCATGTCACGATTGTTAAACCCTAATCCCTCTCACGTTCCACGAACGAACTATCATCTCAACCCATTACATTTAATCTTTCTAACGAATATAATGGGAAACCATAAGGTTTGACTAAAATAAGATTGAACATCACCGTAAATCAACTGGCTATGTTTAATGCAAAACTGGAGAAGCTGAAGTCGATGATTAGTCTTCCGAGGATGGATCTCTCACATATTACCCCGATAGATAATAGACCTCTACAGTTCACATTTGTTTCCAAAATAACTAAATCCCAGCAAAACTTCTTTCAAATACTCTACTGTAAAGCCAGTTCAAACGACTGTCACAATCGGGAAACCAACAGTGTCTCCTGAGTTTATCAAGCTACAACTTCGGTCTCAGGTGCTGCTTCCGCCATTGGCTCATCAGCCGGCCTCTCCACCTTCACACCAACATCCTCATTCGAGTAATCACCATGGACCTTTTACCAATCAACCACCAGGAAGATTTCTCAGTTACATTAATCTCACAAAAAAACTAAAAGACGGATGGATCAAATAACAAGGTGTGCCGTGATGGATTTACCTCCATCAACTTCCCAAGATCAAATTTGGGAGCCTTGAGGATCTTGACCTTTCGGATGAAAACATTCTGGAGAGGGTAGATCCCGACAGTGGCCTTCTCAATCTCTTTCCCGATGCTTTCAGGGATGAACTTCTTCACTAGATCCTTCAAATCACAAGACTGTGCTTGGTTGATCATGATCTCCCTCATCTTCCTGCGAATCTGTGGTAGTAACAGAGTGTTAACTATATGAGGCCATCTGACTGATGAGAGGCAACAGAACTTCTAAACCATCACTGTAAAAGTATGTTTACCTGTCGGATCTGACTTGATTGGGCATAGCAAGTCCTCTTGACCTGATTGGGACGCCTCTTTGTGAAGGCAATGCAAAACATCCTTAAGGTATAGTTATCAGTTGTCTTCACATCAACATGGGCCTCGATCAACGTCTGCCACTTGCGGACAAGAGAACGGAGCTTGTCTGTTGTGAAGTCCATTCCCTAGAGAGTATGATAAACGGGTTATTTTTAGCTTCGGGTTCAGTAGGGCTTCATATTTGGAGATCTACAAGTAAATAGCACTACATACCCAGAAATTGGTGAGGACGTTCTTTCCTTGCACATCCTCTGCCCTAAGGCGGATCTTTCTGTAGGCGTTATCCTCATCTTTCTGAAGGTCAGCAAGAGATACTTCGAAAACTCTATGTTTCAGCCCTTCAGAGGCAATCTGTTGACAACGCATATATTCATCGATCACACATCATGCGAAAATAAACAACCCTGGTGAGTTTACTAAGATATACTTATTCAACAGAATCCAACCATGCATTCACAAAACAAAATCTATTAACTTTCCAACAAGAGATCCACGTCATAAAATACAGCAAGAATCAATGCCAGTCAAGACTTTCACATTGACCTATACAGACAAATCATCGGAATGGAGAAACCCCATATCAATTTAACTGAACTTGCACCATTGCATGTAAACACATTCCTAGAAGCAGAGAGATTAATCCCTAAATAAACAAATTTCATCGCCGTCTATTTCTCTATCTGGCCCATAATCAAATCGATTGTCTAAGCTAAGAGTCATCATCACAATCAAGTGGAAACCATGCCTTAGTCCCCTGGGTTCTGCTGACGAGGGTCTTGCCAATGTTCCTGACTTCGAAAATGGAAGGTGACTTGATATCATACCAATCCTTTTTGGCGAAGGGGTCGGTTCTGTAATCGTCGATAGAAAAACAAGAAAGAAAAACTAGTTAAGTTCAGAAACTGAAGGACAAGCGAGCCACTTAAATGGAGGAAAATTGAGAAGAATAATCAATCGGGATTCCAACTTACGCCTTCTTCTTGCCTCCCTTCTTACCCTTGGAGATCCGCTTGTTCTTCCTGAGAGGGAACGAAAAAGGAGAAAGGAGATCCAATGTGAGTGAACAAAGAGTACTATGGGATCGCAGAAAATCGCTCTTAGTGGAATACAGGAAAAGAATACGAAGAGAGAGGGAAATCACCCGACGGCCATGACGCGAGAACGGTGGCGATTAGGGTTCTTCGGCTGCTGCTGCAGAGATGTTGAGGGAAGAAGTGAGCGCAGTGGGCAACTGAACGAGAAGAAACCTTCCTCGAACTAGGGTTCATCATTTTATTTGTCGCGAGAGGGCTGAAACGACACCGTTTCTAGTTTGTAACTCTGCCAAGAAAACACGCCACTGTATTGCTGATCTGATTTCTTAAAAGAACCAAAACCAAAACCAAAAATTGGTTGGAATGAGATTATCTATGTTTTCATAATCGCAATGGCTTTGAGTTAAAAAAAAATTGATACTTAATTATTAGATACCTTACATACCGTTTAGTATAAATGAATTCCATAAATTTTAAGAAATTTATTTTGAAATGAAATATTTTTGTGTTTGATATTTAAAAGAGTTCATTTTCAATTCTAAAATTGGAACTAGTTATAGCAATTCCGAGGAATTGAGATGGAATTTCCAAACGAATTCCACAATAATTTATATTTATAATAATATGATATAATTATCCTCTTTTATTAACTAAATTACTTATATATATGACATACCAAACAAAGTAATTCATTTGAGAATGAATTTTACATTCATTTTATTTTTAAAGATTTGAATATGACATACCAAACACAGGATTTCATTTGACAACGAATTTTATACGGTAATTCATTTTACTATGAAATGAATTCTCGATTCATTTGGTACCAAACAGACTGTTAGGGTATGCCTATGGTGACATGCATGTCACCATAGCTTGCATTTTTAGATCGACCTCATATAGAATTAGGTCGACCTAATATACACTTTTAGGTCGGCCTTATATAGGATTAGGTCGACCTAATATGTCGTTTCAGTTTTGTGAGGTTCCCGAATACACTAATGTGGGCACCCTGATGACTTATCACGGTCGACCTTTAAAATGTAGTGGTTGACCTTATATAGGATTAGGTCCTGCGTCTTTTTTGCTTATGTATGTCGATGTGGGTGGTTCTTTTGCTCGTAAAAATTACGTTTCAAACCAACAGAATCAGTCATAAATAATGATAACAAGGACTCATAACTTCCATGTGGTCGACCTCTTGAATCACGTGCAGCACCAACTGTAGACACCACATTTTGTCCGGCATAATCGTTTTATTGAAAATAATTATTGTAACGTCGTACTACGATTATATTTAAAAAGGAAACCGAAGATAGTTTTGTTGAGACTAGCAGTTGCAAGTCAATATGAACCAGCAATTATCAAATTTGCTCCTAGTCGATTCTATGGCATAATTAGTTAAGGATCCGTTTAAATTAAGATTAGCTGTGGCAAATCTTAAATATAAATTCTCAATTGGATGGAAGAAATGACTATGGTGCAAATTTTGTTGCTCGAGTTTGGATTTGGATTCGGTGTTTGAAATGGGACAAATTGAATAGTGGAATGAGCTTTATTATCAAAGATTCAAAGTTGATACGTACAACTTTCGTACAACTTGGGTAATGACCTTTAAATAAAGCAAGAATTAGAATTAGAATTAATTACAATGACTAATGCTAACTCTACAAAATTTGGGGCACCAATCAGATCAAGACTAGGCCTTTTTGCTCTTTCTTTTGGGCCCAAAGCGAAACCAACCTGCAAAAGAAAAGAAAAACCAGTCAGTTCTCAAACTAGAGCTCAGATCTGATTAAACCCAAAGAGCAAGTCCAATTCGGCCCATACTCTGGTCCAAGAAAATCCAAACATAAACCAAACTTGACCAATTCGGTCTGACCATATCCTATCCAGCCGACCAGGCACACCTTTCAAAGTCGGAATAAAGAAATGCTAAAATCAGGTAGCAACACATGGTGTTGTTTTTGTTATTTAAGAGACTCGTCAGCTCTCATTTTGGGGGGGGGGGGGGGGCGATTTGGGGAAAAGAAAAAAACTGCATTATAGAAATACACAGAAATAGTTTTAGCTTGTTTTTCTTAACATCCGTGTAAATCTTTTACACGAGATTAACGCATAAATTTGTGACATTAAGCAGAAGAAAGCCTTTCTTATGCCAAGAAACTCCAACCAGATTGGTGCTCTTACTCTTTCATCCCTTTAATAGATCTTATCTCATTTTTGTTTTCGTCAAATTCATGCTCAATCATTGTACAGTCATAATCGTCTATCTACTTGCCCATTTATATTCAAATGTTGTACTTTACAAACCCCTTTATATTCAAGCAATCTATTTACTTACAATAGAATTTGCTCGTACTAATTTCAACACCAAGTTTCTTTCAATTGAGCATTTACCTACTTTTCTCATCAATTGATAATCTACTTTAATTTTCTGCCATGCTTTCAAATTCCCTTTCAGCATATAATTGATAAACACTAGATCATCATACATAAACAAATTAAATCCAAAACTAATCAACCATATCACACTCGAATTTTTGATTCACAAACCCTTACCGGTTTACCAATCAAAAATCATAATCTAAATAAATCACAAGCAGTAGCAGTGATTTAGAGTCCAAAATTTAATATAATCAAGCAGTAGCAGTGATTTAGTCCATGCTCTAGCAAAATCACTAACAATAGCAATGATTCCAATCGCCAAAATACCAATTTACAACATGTTAACTATACTTCAACTACCGAAAAACAAGTTTTTAGCAACTTCTAGCACATCTGGAATTAGATCCAAACCATAGACCGAATCCACCAAACACCAAAATTCCAGAACACATACACAACCATTGTTTTTAGCATTTAGGTTTGCAAATCATTGAGTCTATAGCCAATTTTTTTTTTAGTTAAAAATTTCTCAAGAGTCTTAGTAAACCTACCTAGATCTGTCTTTTTTACCTGCATCAATACAATAATAGAAGTCAGAATCAATTGGGTGAATATTAAATCAACAGTAAAAATCTCAGAAATCAAAACCCCACCTGTCGCCGTTGGCACACTACCGCCGGCAAAGGCTTGTCGGCGAAGACCCTAGCCGCCCAAGTCTCCCTTATTCTCCCCTCGTTGAATCCAAACAAAAAAATCAAAATACAATATAAAAAAAATCAGAATAGAACAGAAAACCCTCCAAATATCAAGAAAACTCGACATGCAAATAAAAAACAACACCTAGAAATCACCATTATCGACGGAATAATCTCATTGCCAATGATTTTTGCCCCCTCCCCCTTTTCTTTCTCCACTCGTCCAAATCCAGGCACCCACAATAAAAAATTATCAGAATCAAAAATAAAAAACATACGAATCAAGAGAAAAGAAGCCTGCATGTTGATCATACCAAGATCGACGCGCTCCGGTAGATTTGACGTAGATGGGTCGGGATTTTGTGGCCGCCGACGAAGGAGAGAGGGCAGATCGAGAGAAGGCGAGAAGAAGGGTTCTGATTTGTGGGGTTTAGTGTTTCCTCTTCTTGCTTCTCGTCTCAAAGAAGCCGGTGAGAAGAGAGAGAACGAGAGGAAGAAAGGCAAGAGAATGAGGAGAATGAGAAAGAAAGGTGGCGTTCTCTTACAGAGTGGGCGGGCACCTCTGTTTCGGGTTCTTCTGGAAAAGAAAGACAGAAGTGAGAAGAGAAGAGAGAGGCGAGAGTGAGGGCTAGCGGCGGCGGAATTTGATTAGTGCTTCATTTTTTTTTTTGTCTAAGACGTTTATATATGTTTCCAAAAGACAGAAATACCCCTAGGGTTCCACACTAATAACTTGGCCTTGCCACCGCATTTTTTTGGAATTACCAAAATACCCTCTCCCTTCGCTGCACCAAAACAAAAATCTCATAAATTGTCGAGACTAGGTTTCGAACCCGCGTCCTTCGACACGAAAGGAAGCGCCAGTTGGGCTACTGGCCCATCATTCATAAATTTAGAGAGTTACTAATTAACGCCCTAAAATTAAAAAATCATCGCCCTAAAATGAAATGAAATTACACATTTAACCCCAATCTCTAACGTTCCTATCGCCCTATTCCTGAACCTCGCTCTGCTGCTCTTCCTCGGCTTCGCCCCTCGCCGTCGTCGCCGCCCTAGCTCATTCGGTGTCGGATTTCTCAGCGGCTCTGGGGAAGGAGAATAGGGAGCCTCCGCCTTCAATGACCCTCCCTCTCCTGCTCGTCCTCTGCTCCACCCGTCACCGCCACCCTCGCTCAGTCGGTGTCGGATTCCTCACCGCCGCTGAGGAAGGAGAATAGGAAACCTCCGGTGAGAAGAGGAGCGGGGTTGGGAACGCCTTCTCTCATGTTCTGCCCCGCCCACTGCAGCCGCCACCCACCTTTGCAGCTCCTGAACTCGAGGAGGAAGAAGGAATCCGATTGAAACAATCTGCGACGGAGAAGGGCTACAAATGCGGGTGCGATCGATAAAAGTTCAGATCAAAGTAACCCAAACAATCGAAATTGTCCTTGAGCGGCGCAACATCGGAGGTGGAGGTGGCGGTGGCGATGGGCCGGAGAAGAGCAAAATTAGGGTTGCCGTTATGAGGATTGGGGGCGGAAGCTTTTAGGTATTGGGGGTACAATCGTCCGTTTGGGTAAGTTTAGGGCGAAAAATTTAAAAATTTAGGGCGTTAAATAGGAATCCAGTAAATTTATTCATCCCGTCTATATTTGTCATTTAATATCCTTAATACAAAATCTGGATTAAGTTTATCTCGTTTCTTTTCTAATACATCAATTAAAAAAACCAAACAAGCCAAAGTCATACATGAATGCCTGTGGTCGTGGCTGTGTGCCAATCAATATCTCTATTGTCCAACTTACGAGGAGAGTGGCCTTGGCTGTGACCGCCTGTGGCACCCACGACATCCATCCGCCATCTCGGTAATATCTCCGACTACATCGTCTCTATCAACGGCGAGCAAACATGAATGCTATAACCAATCAACCGAATTCGACGTAGAAGATTTTTCTGGTCGAACTACCAATTCGATACTGCACATTGACATGCAAGCCTACTGCAGGCGATGACGTGTTCAATGAGTGTCGCCACTGCTTCCTCGGTGTTGATTACTGTTGAGGATTCTCAAAGATTGTTTATTTTTGTGACCCCTTTATGAGCTTGTTTATACGTTCTATCCCTTGTTCTGTTTTGCTGCCTCACCGGAACAAGCACCACCACTTTCATCAGGTAAATCACACGATTTCCCTGCGTTTTTCTTTTCATAGGTTTTGGTTGCCCTCCTTCCTGTAATTCAATTTGACTAGTAGTCTATAATTTTCTATGCCATGTATTATCGACCAACAACGGTCCTATTAGGCCATTTTTCTCCTTTGTTTATTTTTGACAGAGTCCTCCATTTCAGTTTCATCTTGTCTTTCTCGCCGACCACTCTTTCATTGCCCCGCCGTGCTCGGATTGTACATTGTTTTCTGGTCCGTTTCCGGCAATGATGATGAGCTCGTAATTAATTGTAGTTGTGAATTTTCGTTGTTTTTGCGCTTGGAGTGATTTCTGCAATTACCCTTTTTGGTTCAAATTCTTTGAGTATCAATTCTCGCCAAATTTATTGGGGTCATTATCTCTCTTCTAATTTTAAAAATTTCTCAAAGTGATTTCAGCAGTTACCCATTTTGGCTCAAATTCCATGTGTATTAATTCTTGCCAACGGTTTGGAGTCATTATCCATTTTAATTTTAAAACTTTCTGAGAGTAATTTATGCTCAGTTGTGTTACACACCATCCTTCTAAAGCCAAAATGAACGTTTTGCCCTTGGTCAACAATTGTCAAATTCCACCGTACTATCGATAAGGACTAAAAATGTGAACTCTCATTTCAAATGGTGTGGAGTTTCGACAATAAACTGAGGAAATTACGGACGTTAACTAAGTGTCAGATCAAACTCACCCGTTATCCAATTAATCATGAAATTCCCAAAATATCCTTTGAACTAATTAAACCGTACCCCTTGGAGCAACTATGCCCTCCCTAGCTATATATATAAATATATGAAGCAAAAGAGCAGCAGTTCGCCGTTTACACTACCGCTATGGCCACGAAGGAGAGAAAGAGAGAGAGAGAGAGAGAGAGAGAGAGAGAGAGAGAGAGAGAGCGGCCGCACAAAACCTGCCTGTAATGGATCGCCAGAGAACTGATATTCCCCTGAGCCACCCGCTGCATCACCACGCTTCTCTAGCTGATTCTCTGACTGCCTGAACGGATCTCCAATAACTTCAACTGTTGGCATGCCGGGAAGCTGTTGGGCGCTAACGATGGGGTAGCAGCCACGAGAAACCCTTCTTCTCGTCATCGTAGAATCGCAAAGAAAAGGGAGCGATCGAAAACCATGGTTCCTTGTAGGGGCCCCACTTGGACAAGCTCGCGAGGTGCGAGTATGTAGTTCTATTTGACTTGATTTTAATAGGAACGCACTGTGTTGGATTCCTTTTGGGAATTAAATGTCTTGGGGTAGCTTGGAGTGGTGTGGGAGCTACTGATATCCTCCACCGACAACAAGCATTGGACAAAATCGGTTGCCAAAGGGGGATTGAGACAGCGAAGGAGTTTGGAGGGAGCATCAGCCTACTTGCACAGAAGGATTCCACGTGGAAGGATATTTGGATGCTTGGTATAGTGGCATGCTCGCATATGGAAGGTGAAGTGTAACCCATGTGCAAATGGGTAGTTAGGTGACTTTTTGGGGATGTTGTTCAATTCGTACGTAGCCTTTGGGAATGCATGGATGAGATGGACATTAGAGCCTGTGGGGACTTTGCAAATTGCAAGTAAGACTATGGTAAAGCGATCGCCGTTGGAGGGTGGTTAGCTCAAGCCAAGTCGACCTGAATAATAAGGTGAGTGTATAGGGGGTAAATTCTACGCCTTACGTTTTTTCAAGCATTTACCTTACGCATTTTAAGTATTTTTGTGAAGTAGTTTGTATGGTTGTTTATGCGTATGGTTGATGATATGTGCCTTGTTTGAATTATGACTTGAAGTGAATGTTTATTATTTATTTTGAAATTTTACGAGTATAAGTTATTGTTAAAGTTAAAGAAACAATTTCTTTTTAAGAAGTAACTCACCTTCAAGAAGGTGAAGTCATTTTAAGTGTTTTTAGTCACTAACGTCGGTCCATTGCAATTTGAGATTTTCAGATAGAGCAGCAGTTATGCTCTTGAGGTCTTTGAGACGGAACAACAGTTATGCTCTTGAGATTTTTAAGATGAGCAGCAGTTATGCTCTTGAGAATCGTGGAAGAAGAGCCTTCCACGATAAGTTTAAGTTTAAGGAAAGCCTGGATGGCTTCTCATGCGTATGAGTTGGCAACCAGACTAGCTAGTGAGGGATCCCCGTGTCAGTCAAGTATTTAAGTCAAGCTTTGAGATTTAAGAATGGGGTAACAGTAACTCCCGTACAGTTTTAAGAGTTAGGATTTTTAGTAGTGGAAGTACAAAACAACTTCCACTCAGTTAAGTAAAGTGATCAAGTATTAATAAGATGTTAAACGTAAGGGCGTAGACTGACCCCATCTCACTCACCGGTTTGAAGAGGACTAAGAGGAGTTAGAGAGCAGCGAGTTCGAGAGGAGCAGTTTGAGGGCAGCCAGCTAGAGGAGGGTAGTACAAGCGTTACAGAGGATGTCTGGTCAAGGCTTTCAGGAAGCACTAGCATTAGAGACTTTTTAGTTGTTTCAGTTTATGATTATGAGTATAGACTAGAGATCACTTTGGGATTTTAAAGTTTGAGTTTGCGCAAGTGTCAGGCCTTGTGTTTAAGTAATGATAGTTGTTTTCGGTATTTATTAAAGTTAGTTATGAAATGTTTCCGCTATGTTTTCTAAGTATTTTCAGTTCTTATTTTATTTCACGGTTTATCAAGGGTATTTTGGTAAAAGTAGTACCGGGCCGGGTTAGGGTATTATATTTTGGTATCAGAGCCGGTCTTCCTCTGTTCCTTGGTCTCCAAGGAATACTGGAATATCGGTCTCGGTTTTAATGGATTTTGTGTTTTAAAGGAAAGGAAAATGAGTCAAGGATCTTCTTTTAAGAATCTATAGAATCTCCAGTCTACTCTAATCGTATTAAGATAAATAACTTTAGTCCTAATAAAAGGTGCACCAATCGCAAAGAGATATCCCGAGGTATAAGTACGAGGATTTGAAGGAGTTGAAGGAGCACTACGAGGATTTTTCTACTTAGCCACTGGCAAACGACCTAATAGGTTCATATAAACTAATAGGAGAAATATAAATCTCCGAAGAACAAGCTACAATCATTAGGACTATATAGCTATGATAATGGTAGGATTTCAAGGGGTTTGACCCTAAGGAGTATCAAGGAGGCAATGAGTCAAGAAACGAAGAGGTTCTACGAGAAGTCCCTCGACTAGTTTTAGTGGTCAACTCTACTACAACACGGTGACAAGGAGCACTGTAAAGCTTAGACTTTAAGAAAATCTAGGTTAGTATAAATGAAGCAAAAGAGGAAATAAGTCGGTTAGGGGAAGTCTGAAAGGACGTCAAGAAGTCAATAGGTTGAGGCGGAGAGGAGGCATGGTCGTTTACATATGACGATAAAGGAACCCTTATAAATAAACTACGTCACTAGAGAAGAGTGTACATGACCCTGGAGAGTTAGGCCGGTGACAAGCCTTTAGAAGGAACAAGAAAAACAACGAGTTAAATGATAT